AATATTCATTCTGGTACCAAAAAATTCGCAAATAAATTCTCTACAAAACAAAAGTATCCCCATCCATTTCTGTTAAAAAATGGAATTTATAGAAATATTTTTTCGATGGACGAGAAAAGTAGGCTGTTATGCGGAATCGTAAGAAAAAACGGCGACGAGTTATCTCTAATCTAAAGCGCGAAAGTGTTAATTTGTGTTTACTGATCATGGGAAAAATAATAAAAAAAATCGTAAGTGGCATATATTGCCCGCTATTGGGCGGGGAAGTCTGGCAAAAAACAGGCGCTGACTCAGCGTGCGTCCCAGACTGTCTGTTGCTTGCCAGCTGTCAGGCCGGAGTTGCCACAAAAAGATAATTACCTAATTATTTCAATGTCTCTGATTGATTTTTCGTAGTTTTTTTTTTTTGCTATAATATTATTCAATAGTGTGTAGCGTGATATATTTATATAATAAAATAAGTGAATCATCGCTGTACTCAAAAATATGGTGTGCATATTGTTGATTCAATTATGTTCATCAAACAGTGAACAAATACTTTGTCGGTTATTACACTATATACACAGGTTATATATAAGTATCTGCATGTTTTGTTCACCATAACGAACCACTAAGTTGCTATTATGAGTCAAAAAGTAACGAGGAGTGACCGCCGTATACCAGCCAGCCACTCACCCCCTCCCTCAAGTCACCTGACTCACCTACATTCTCCTCCCACAATACTGTTTTTGCTTTTATTCACAATATATAGATGTTATATATAAGTATCTACATTCGTGTTCACCATAACGAACCACTAAGTTGGTATGCTGAGTGGCAGTGGCAGCCAGTGGCAGCCCGCCACTGGCTGCCACTCCCTCCCTCCCTCACCTCATCTGACTTGCCACCATTCTCCACCCACCATACTGTTTTTGCTTTTATATACAGATGTTATATATAAGTATTTACATGTTTTGTTCACTATAACTGTACATCTAAGCTTGTATGGTGAGTAAAGGCACAAAGACGTAGGACCTCACACAGTCAGCTGGCTGCCGCCCTCAAAGCCAGTCGCACTAATATTTCTCCTCCAACAATACTGTTTGTGGTGTTATTACACTATATACACACATTATATATAAATATCTACCTGTTTTATTAACCATACTTGTACAAGTAAACTGGTATGGTACCCAAAGACCATCGTGGTAACCAGTAAACAACATGATAAATCGTGCAGATGACGCCACCGCCCTCACCAAAATGGCGGTTCCCAACCTACTCTTCTTGCTGTTTATACCCTCTATACACACGTTATATATAAGTATCTATATTTGTGTTCACCATAGCGAATCACTAAGCTGGTATGGTGAGTGCAGTCAATAAAAGGTGGCCACACAGTCAGAAGACAATGCCACCACCCTCCCTCCCTCCATGGCGCACAGCGCTAAATATCACCACAATCCTGCTATTATCAGAACCCTGGTCAGTTTTATCACAGTCAGGGGTCTTCTGTAATAATATCATCGCTACATAATAGCATGAACAAGTATATTATGGCATTTTTAGGCGATGCTGTGGTCACAAGCTGAACAGCAGTGCTGTGAGCTCATGCTGCGTGCATCAGGCTTGGTAGCTCACTCAATACTGAGGCCCCTAACACCCGGGAATTTGGCCCATGATTTTTTTTTTAAATGGCGTCTGTTTACAAGAGCCCTGATGAAGGTGTGGTGAACCCCGTGTATCCGCGGGCCGTTTAAATCTTGCGTAGTACTCCAAAGCATCACATGATGCGATGCGCAATTTACTGCAAGTCGGTCAAAGCATCATATGATGCGATGCACAATTTAAGGGTTAAGTTGAATTTTCATCCCCATAGCCACCTTAATGAATTTAATTAATTGCCCACTGCGGTCCATTTAATGTAATGGACCGCGGTGGGCATGTCTGCTTGTGCATGGCATGGAGTGAACAAGTTTTCTTGTCTGGGTCTTGAAGAGACTCAAACAATAGCTTAGGGAGATTTGTATTATATTTGGCCTTTCTCTGAATGGATGCAATAACAGGAGGGTGGTCTGTCAATTTTACAGGATAAGATACGGTACCCAACTGTAACCTACAATGTCTTGCGCTCTTTACTGCTGACAAGCTATATGTAAATCTAATAAAAAAGTCCATACCCATAAGTATATCTCCAGGAAAGGATAGCACTGTACAACCATGGGGTTGGATTTTATCCTTTTCTACTTCAAAATTCAAGGTGCATTGTCCCACAATATCAATCTTTAGGCCATTGACCACAGTAAGACGTTTATTTCACAAATTAAGGCGCAGAATTGGTTTTAACCCTCAAACCGCTAGGGGGCCCAAATGGAATTCACACCCACAGGCGCAACAAAAAAAAAAATCCAAAAAATTCTTTCGTCTTATAGAAGTGTTCATTTTTGTTCCCTGATCACGGAAAAAATAACAAAAAAATTGTAGGTGGCATATTTTAGCAGCAATAGGGTAGGGAAGTGTGGCAAAAAAGGGGAGTTGGCAGAGCCTTCGCCAGACGAGGTCTACTCCGCCCGAGCTGTCAGACGGCAGTTGCCACAAATATATTATTACCTAATTATTTCAATGTCTCTGACTGATTTTTTCTTAGTTTTTTGGCAGTAATATTATTCCATACAGTGAATTGTGGTATATTTATATTATAAAATGTGTGAACCATCGCTGTACTCAAAATTATGGTGTGCATATTAGTGATTCAATTTTTATGTTCATAAAACAATAAACAAATAGTTTGGCTGTTGTTACACTATATACACAGGTTATATATAAGTATTTGCATGTTTTGTACACCATAACGAACTACTAAGTTGGTCTTGTGAGTCAAAAAGCAACAAGGAGTGATCGCCAAACACCAGCTAGCCACTCACTGCCACTCCCTCCCTCAACACCACCTCACTCACCCTCATTCACCTCCCATAATACTCTTTCTGTATTTATTCACTATACACAGACGTTATATATACGTATTTACATGTTTTGTTCACCATAACTGTACATCTAAGCTTGTATGGTGAGTAAAGACACAAAGACGTAGCTACTCACACAGTCAGCTGATCGGCGGCCGCCCTCAAGGCCAGACGCACTAATATTTGTCCTCCAACAATAATGTTTGTGGTGTTATTACGCTATATACACACATTATATATAAGTATCTACCTGTTTTATTCACCATACCTGAACAAATAAGCTGGTATGGTGCCCAAAGATCATAGTGGCCATCAGTAAACAACATGCCAAGTCGTGCAGACGACGCTCCTCCCTCACCAAAATGGCGGCTCCCAACCTACTCCTCTCGCTGTTATCTCACACTATTCACACGTTATATATAAGTATCTACATTTGTGTTCACCATGGCGAACCACTAAGCTGGTATGGTGAGTGCAGTCAATAAATGCACACAGTCAGAAAACGACGCCACAACCCTCCCTCCCACAGCCTTACTCCTCCCTCCATGGAGCACAGCGCTAAATATCACCACAATCCTGCTATTATCAGAATCCTGGTCAGTTTTATCACACTCAGGGGGCTTCAGTAATACTATCACTGCTAAATAATAGCAGTATCATTTATATTATGCTATTTGTAGGCGATGCTGTGGTCACAAGCTGAACAGCGGTGCTGTGAGCTCGTGCTGCGTGCGCCAGCCTTGGTGGCTTGCTCAATACTGACGCTGTAACACCCAAGAATGTTGGCCTGGATTTTTTTCTAGGTGGCATCTGGCAACTATCGGTTGTGGCTGTACTATAGCTGCCCCTATCCCAGGCGAGGCGTTTAAATTATAGCGCTAGACATGAAATCATATATAAATGATGTGCGCGGTTTCGGTTTTGTCACTGATATCATTTATATATGATATGCGCGGTTTGAGGGTTAAATACATGGATGGCAAAATACTAAAGAAATTGTTCACGACTTTTGTTGGCCAAAGCTAGAATATGCAGTGGTTGTGTGTTGCCCATATCTTAAGAAGCACATCAACAAACTGGAAAAGGTGTAAAGACATGCTACTAAGTGGCTCCCAGAACTGAAGGGCAAGCGCTACAAGGAGAGGTTGGAGGCATTAAATATGCCAAAACTAGAAGACAGAAGAAAAAGAGGTGATATGATCACAACGTACAATATAGTAGCAGGAATTGATAAAATCGATAGGGAAGATTTCTTTCGACCTGGAACGTCAAGAACAAGAGGTCATAGATTTAAACTAACTAAACAAAGATGCTGAAGAAATATAAGAAAATTCACTTTCGCAGACAGAGTGGTAGACGGTTGGAACAAGTTAAGTGAGAAGGTGGAGGAGGCCAAGACCGTCAGTAGCTTCAAAGCATTATATGACAAAGAGTGCTGGGTAGATGGGACACCACGAGCGTAGCTCTCATCCTGTAACTACACTTAGGTAATTACACTTAGGTAATTACCTGACTGATGGTTCGAAATGATTCTGCTTTAATTAAGGTTGCCTGACTTCTGGTGTCTAGAAAACCAACCAACCTTTTCCCATTAACCTCTACTTCAAAAGTAGGCCTGTCGTCTTGTATGGGAGCCTTATCTCCTCCAGGAATTATCTGGCTTGGACACTTTACTCTGACATGGCCCATACCCCCACAATTCTAGCACTATATTGTTAGAATAATTCCACCAAGGGAGAGGCGGAATCCCCAATTTTCCGTTGAATGGACGGAATTGAATCTGGTAACAAGGGATTACCTTTCAACCTTCGAAACTACTCGAGGTGAGTTTTGTTTAACCTTACCTCACCTCCGTGTGAATGTCTCATAAGTCAGGTATAATCCCAAATCTCTACACATGTCACCTCAACAACTGATACACAAATATATGCGTGAGAACTATAACTACAGTACTAACAGAATATCATATTTCTCACACTCACATATTATTTAATGATGAAAATCTGTCGGCAAGTTTGCCAAACAGTATGAAAAAGTTTCAGAAGAATCTTTTTGCAGGATTGTTTGGTGACCTGCATGTACCATACGAGGTTGACAGGAACACCAGCCTGGATGGCACTCCATCCCTGAAGGAGATGGTACAGGTGGCACTCAGGCGACTCCTCAGGGATGATGATGGCTTTTTCCTTCTGGTAAGAGTAAAAATATGTCTTCTGTTTTACTTGACTGTTGAATATCACTGAGGAGGTTAGATCAATGATTCTAGCATGAATCTTCTCTATTTCCTATGTTCTTCACCCTGGAAGCAAGTTGAAAAATGAGTTCTCCAAATTTCATTTATGGTACCACTTTTAGTGGGACTGTCATGTTTTGCTACGGTACAGTTTGGCATCTTCAGAGGCAGAAGATAAGTGAATATAAATGGACAAACACAACAATATATTTTACTACATAATTCCATGTAGGGGATGAAAAATGAGGTGATTACCTTGTTGTGGGGCCTGGGTAATCTTATTGTGCATTCTCATTAGATGGTTGGGTGGTAACTGTTGTGTAAACTGGCAGCTTTACCTTGGTCTTGTAAATAGTGACACATACCTAGAAATAAGCTAGCCATTTATAATTGGAGAAGAGTTCTTGACATAGTGTTTTTTCCATGTCTCATCTTCTATTGCATCTGCCTATTATTTTAGTGTTGTTGGGCTGAATATCTCTGGTGATGGTCTGGTTATGTAAAGAAATTATGCCTTGTTATGATATTTAATAGTCATATTGTCTGCATTATCAAGTACCTTGGGTGATATGCTATCTTTGGCACATATTGTGTGTTGGGGCTGACAGTCCTCAAGTGGGCATCTAAAAAGTATAGACAACTTTCATCTCTTTCATAAGCAGTCTTCCTAATTTTGTAGTAAACAGTCATTTGTATTACTTATTCATAATTGGCAGGGGTCACATTTGTTAACTGTCTTTTAGGACAACTTTTTCCTCAGTCTTGTGAGGCATAGACTGTAGATCTACTATGTAGATGTAGACATAGACATAGTTCCTGTAGAAATGGCAGCATGGTGGGTTGCTTTCATTACCTGATTTCACCTAGCTGATTTACCCAAAGGCCACTAACACTAGTGGCCTCAACAAGGACAGGAAGCTGGTGACTTGTCGAAGGTCCCACATTTGCCTTGATGACTGTCTCCAGGTGGAATAATAATCTCTTCTACAAATCCATTTGTGTATCTGTTGTTAATAGGGATTGATCTTACTCTTCTGAGGTCCTCATCAAATGGCTTCCAACTAGAGCTGTATATTGCTGTATAGAGCTGTTACTTGCAAGTAACCTATAATAGAAAAATCTTGACTAATTTTGCCTGTTACAGACATTCTACAAAAGCAGCCTTGCTACCAGACAGCATATGTCTTACTATAATGCTGTGATTTAACAGGTTGAAGGAGGGAGGATTGACCATGGCCTTCACTATGGTCAACCACTACGAGCTCTAGAAGAGTTGCTAGCCATGGAGGAAGCATTAAATGCAGCTATGGAAATGGTGAACCTGGAGGAAACGTTGATTGTGGTCACAGCGGACCACTCTCATGTCATGACCATTAATGGTTATCCAGAGAGGGGCAACAACATCCTTGGTAAGATTGACAACTTTTTTTTCCAAGTCAATGATTACTTCACTTTCAAGATTTTAGATGGTAATTGCTGCATCAGTCTGAGCATCAATGTAGGTAATATTTTTAGTATACTGTATAGTACAGTATATTTAGAGGAGAAACACGGATTTTAGTAAACATCTTGAAATTTATTGGTAAATGTGTCTGTACAGCCATAAGATATTTCTTTAACCACTGTGCTACTTGCCTTCCAAATATGGCACCCCCCCCCTCCCTGTATGCAGAACGTAAAATCTCTGGATTTTTTTTTTTTTTTGAGTGTCGAAAACCCTTCCCTGAGTATGGATATGTTAACAAAAACTCAAAATTGTACTTACTTTGGCTGCTATGGGGTCCATAAGTTCACGCGTGACATCATCATTCCTCAGTCGCCCCCATGGCGTATACTCCCGGGGCCAGTAGGGCGCCCGGCTCAAGATGCGCAAGTTGCCCGAATATATTTTTGTTCATTTTTTGTGCACAGTTCCAAATACATTTTTTGTTTTTTTCATGCCAATCCTATGTATAATGAACACTTACACTATATTATGGCAGTAGAACATCCATACTGTTCGAAGACACTGTGTTACATACATCACACATGTGTACACATATCCTGCACATATTTCCAATGTATCATGCTAATTTATGTATATTTACAATCTACACACTGTACAGTATCACACACTATATACACACACCATAAACACACTCAGAACTCCGCGAGTGTGTAATATGCTGCGAAACAGCCAATGGGGCATAGTGGAACCATGCACTCCACACACCAGGTGCTGATGCATCTTTGCTTTTGTTCTCTTCGGGTTGTGTTCTTGTATACAATACAGGCACGTTTATTGTCACACTTGCGCAGCTGGCAATCACCCACTGCTATACCTATGCCAAACACCGGCATTTCCTTCCTGTGGGCCTTCACAGTGCCACATACACCGGTGTTGTGGACAAGGAGGTATCTGGTCAACAAAGGGCTGGTGTAATAGTTGTCGGTGAACAGTATATGATCCTTGTTCAGCAATGGTTCCATCAGGATTTTTACAACACTGCCAGAGAACCCGTGTTCATCTTGAGCTGGTATGTCGACATCTGTACCAGAATACAGAATCATGTCCATGACAATACCAGTCTCACAATCACACAGCATGAAAAACTTGAGTCCAAAACGGTGGCGCTTTGATGGGATGTACTGCTTGAATGCTAGTCGCCCCTTGAACAGTACAAGCGATTCATCGATTACCACATTCTGTGCAGGTACAAAATAATCATGGAACTTGCCTCTCATGTCACTGAACACCTTCCGTACCCTCCACAGTCTGTCGTGTCAGTCCTCATTTGCATTATTCTCAAAATGCATGCACCTGAGAATCAACAGGAACCTATTACGTGACATATACCGGTTGAACACAGGCGATGGAACAAGGCTGTCTTTGCTCCAATAATCCTGGATGACATGTTTCTCGGAGTGCTTCATCATCATGCTCAGTGTGAGAAACACATACATTTGGTCAATTGTGGTGTCTTTCCATCGCGTGAGGCAATGAAGCAGGTAGAATGCCGGCATCTATGAGGCTGTGAGCATATCAGTTTGTCTCAGTCACTCGATGGGTCATGAAATACGCCAGGAAATAGTCTATTTCTGCCATATCCTCACCTGTATAGGGGAATAATGGTGTAACATCAACATCTGTAGCATCAAACGTTGGTATTTGTGGAACAAATGTGACATAATCCTCCCACACAAATACACCTGGGGGTTTGGTTTTGGTGCCAACACCACGGCCAACACCACTACGAGCACCAAAAACACGGCTAAGTCGTCTGGTACTGGAGCTGTGTGAGGGTATGGTAGGAGATGAGGCTGATCTACGTATCGTAAGCCTACCATGAACACCTGATGTAGAGGGACCACTGTCGTCATTGTCCTCATGCTCCGAGAATGCTGCCACCTGCTGCGACATGTTGCTAAGGCAGCAAAACCCTCGCTGCTCGTACTTGGGTTGTCCACACAACTTGTATCAGAGCCTATGTCACTGAAGCCCAAGAAAGATACATTGCAAGTACTATCACTGAATAAACTTGCATCAGGGGACATACATAGTGGTGGTGATGATAACGGTGTTGACCCAGAGCAGCAAGGCAGGCCGGGCGAGGCGCGTGTACCGTACACGCTCACGACATCATCCATCTCAGTCTCTCCCTCACTCATATCAGACCTCGGTGTAAGGTCTTTCTCTGGATCATAGTCTAAGTCATCATCCATAGCACCGTCATCATACAAAATGTCACGTATCTCCTCCTCAGAGAGTCATTTTCCATGATTGCGGGTGGCCATGGAGCGGGAGCTCATAGGCGATGCATCAGACATGGTTGCTGCTTTGAAACTGAGGCTTCCCAAGGCCGCGGGGTATGCTAGGATTTTTTCAAGATGACGGACGATCACTGGGGCACCCAGGCATCCATTTTGTACCCGCATCACCGCACGGCAGTTTTGAATGAATGAAAAATAAAAATACCCAGAGGCTCGTTGCGAATCCCCCCGTTGAGCGCCTGCAGGCGCATTGCGCAGTTCAGTCTTTAAGACCTGCATGTTTTATTCATGTTTCCATTTTATTTGTATATACAGTGGAACCTCAGTTGACGACTGCCCTAGAGTAAGAATTTTTTGGTTGACGATGTCAAATTCATTGCAAAATCTGGATTGGTGTACAACGGTTTACTTGGAAGACGACGTCAGTTCATACGCATATGGGTCAAGCGAGTGAGTGGTGTTGGGCGAGTGAATCGCCTCGATGGGGCGAGGCACTCTCAGTTTGTTTACAAGTCTATCCCACATAGTGATGACCGTGGCCACTCGAATTCTTTGTGAAGAATTTTATTGTTTGACTGCTTTTCTGGGAGGGAGCCCCATCAGCTCCCTGGAGCTATCCAAGCTGATATATAACTATTAGCTTTCTGTTATCAAAGTGCATGGAGTTCTTGCCTACTGGGGACCACAAGCCAGAACCTGGCCCATCTCAGAGAGGCACGAGGAGGGGAATGACGAGGAGCAATGGCTTATAGAAACCCCTGTGTGGTTGGGAGCATTCTATGTCTGTCATCGACCGGGTCTGGCACCCAGAAAGACAGGTGCCTCAAAACAAACCCCTATTCTGCTGAAGATATTGCTTCTGAAAGCCAACCGAGTGGACAGAACTCCCCAAACGAAAATTAGCAAATGAGCACGACATCATCACGTTGCCGTGCCTCTGTCTGCGCACCCCCACCCCTGGAGGGGGAAGGGGGACCCCCAGACCCCTCATGCTGGTGATCTAACCGGCAGTTCTTGGCTGATGTGATACTGGCAGGTCATGTGCTTTTGGCTCCTGTTTTGATTCCAGTTACTATGCCTTGTAATTACCTAGGTGTAATTACGTAAGTGTAGTTACAAGATGAGAGCTACGCTTATGGTGTCCCATCTTCCTCAGCACTCTGACATATAACGCTTTGAAATTACTGACAATTTTGGTCTTCACCACCATCTCACCTAACTTGTTCCAACCGTCTACCACTCTGTTTACAAAAGGGAATTTTCTTATATTTCTCTGGCAGCTTTGTTTCGTTAGTTTAACCACCGTGCTGTGTCAAGTTTATTGTGAAATTCCCCCTGTGTGAATGTAATAAAGTGTTCCCAAAAATTATTTTTTCTTCGTAAAATTATAAATTCCCTTCCCTGAACATGTCTATGTAAAAATAAATACCAAATTCCACTTACTTTGGCTGTGGAGAAGTGGACAAGGTGTGCTGTGACATCATCAGGGGCTGGTTCCCCGTGCATGACATGCCCAGACACGGGTGCGGTCCATTCAAGCACTGGGTGTTGCCACAAATATATTTTCAATTATTTGTTCTATGTATTTCTAATGCAGTTTTATTTTTTTTTATTGTATATGATGCATATTTGTGTCCTTTAAAATATGTATACCGTAAAATGCTCATAATGTTCCATGGAACTGTGATACATGTGTCAGTAATGTGTCCACAATAAATGTTTATTGTCACAATATTACTTGTTAAAAATTCACTAAAATTACAATATGTACAGTTTCACACACTATTTACACAGTAACACACTGTATTACACAAACATAGACCCCACACAACCTATATATTATGTGAGAAATCTTTAAAGAATTCTGATAAAGAAAGAGATCTAGGGGTGGTTTTAGATAGAAAACTATCACCTGAGGACCACATAAAGAATATTGTGCAAGGAGCCTATGCTATGCTTTCTAACTTCAGAATTGCATTTAAATACATGGATGGCGATATACTAAAGAAATTGTTCATGACTTTTGTTAGGCCAAAGCTAGAATATGCAGCTGTTGTGTGGTGCCCATATCTCAAGAAGCACATCAACAAACTGGAAAAGGTGCAAAGACATGCTACTAAGTGGCTCCCAGAACTGAAGGGCAAGAGCTACGAGGAGAGGCTAGAAGCATTAAATATGCCAAAACTAGAAGACAGAAGAAAAAGAGGTGATATGATCACTACGTACAAAATAGTATCAGGAATTGATAAAATCGACAGGGAAGATTTCCTGAGACCTGGAACTTCAAGAACAAGAGGACATAGATTTAAACTAGCTAAACACAGATGCCGAAGAAATATAGGAAAATTCACCTTCGCAAATAGAGTGGTAGACGGTTGGAACAAGTTAAGTGAGAAGGTGGTGGAGGCCAAGACCGTCAGTAGTTTCAAAGCGTTATATGACAAAGAGTGCTGGGAAGACGGGACACCATGAGCGTAGCTCTCATCCTGTAACTATACTCAGTACTTCGGAAGTGAGTAATAATCAACGAAGTAGTCCATGGTGCACAGCGCGACTTCGCTCTCGTTGCACGAAGTACAGATAAATTTTTGTTTCCTGTTTCTTCATTCTGTGTGCTTGCAAATAATGCACTCATGTACACCCTTGGCTTTAGTACTTGTAGGTTGTATGTAGCATAAGGTAGTATTGAAAAGATTATAGGAAAAGATCAATTTGTAAGGTAGTCTTGAAATGATCACTTTGTATGGTCCCACACAGGAAGAGACTCGGCTTGCCTCAAAGAGTGTCCGTCAGTCAGAAAGAGATTCAGCAAGCCTCAAAGAGTGTCCGTCAGTCAGAAAGAGATTCAGGTATTCTTGAAAATATCTATGGAAAACACCACCATGGAAGCCACAAACACTGTTCATCTATGCTACTTGTATCAGATGCATCATCACTGAACGCAGAAAACGATTTATCTATGTATCATCTAAATAAATTGGAGATAGCATAGGATTGCAAGGGTGACACTCAGAGCAACAACTGGATATGCTCGCTGTATCGTCCTCATAGGTGCTGTATCACTTGCATTCAACCTTTGTGTTAGGTCCTTATTGTGCCTAGCTTCACCAATATTATGACCCTTATGTTCTTCAAACAATAAGGTTTGAATTTCACCAACAGAGCGTTATCTTTCAACACCGCATCGAACAGGTGTTTGGGAGCCAGAGGCGCGTGTGCCACCCATGGTTGCTCACTCAGAACTAACCCAGCCAGCAGCCCTAGGGCATTCTGGGAATTTTTTCCAAGATGGTTGCCTCTCGCTGGGGGTCTTAAGAGTCCATTTCGTACACAACCAACCTCGCACACATTTAGAGTGGGTCCGAAAAAATCAAAAAGAGTTTTCTCGGTTGACGCAGTTACCCATCGACAGAGAATACTCGGTTGGCATAGTTAAGTGGTTAACTTGTTCCTACTGTCTAACACTCTGTTTGCTCTTTGTTAAGTGAATTTTCTTATATTTTTTTGTTATCTTTGTTTAGTTAGTTTAAATCTATGACCTCTTGTTCTTGAAGTTGCAGGTCTCAGGAAATCTTCCCTATCAATTTTGTCAATTCCTGTTACTATTTTGTACGTAGTGATCATATCACCTCTTTTTCTTCTGTCTTCTAGTTTTGGCATATTTAATTCCTCTAACCTCTCCTTGTAGCTCTTGCCCTGTAGCTCTTGCCCTTCAGTTCTGGGAGCCACTTAGTAGCATGTCTTTGCACCTTTTCCAGTTTGTTTTTGGGCTTCTTAACCCTTAAACCGCTAACTGTTAAATAGCAAACAGTTAGCGGCGCTCAAGAAAAAAATTATTCTGAAAAAATAATTTTTTCTTGTGACATTGTTAATTAGCCTTCAGGAAGCACAAAAATCCAAATAAAAAGTCTAGCTCTTGTGGTTTAGCTGTAGTTGCCTGGAGAAGCTGCATATTTTTAGTTGAGGTGCTGCATAGGAATAACTTTGTTGATTTATTTTCATTGTTTCTCAATTTATTAATTTAGTTTTTTCATGCTAACAGGTTGCATTGGTGAGTGTGTCAAAGTTACTGTCTATTATGTAAAACTTTGAAAATATAAGTATGTATGGATATACAAGTAAAAATATAAAGACACCCACATACTTATTCATATTAATACATGTATAAATATATTTTAAGCCTAAATCTTAAAATTGCATATAGCACACATTTTGTCTCGAATATATACATGGTAATCACTCATTTGCTGTTGCTAAAAGTTTAGTTTCTCCTCTACGGCTGCCCTAAACATTCAGATACTGATGGTGATGTTGCCAAGCAATGGTCATCATTTTCTTACAAAGGCTCTAGAAGGAAAGTGAGGGACTCTGGATTTTTTTCAAAATGGGGGATGGTTACTGGTGGTCTGAGGAAGCAGATGTGAGCTCTATATGTGTGTAGGACTATTTTAACTATTTTAAATACGCAAATCATATATATATATGATTTGCGCCGTTTTGTGACAGTTACTCAAATCATATATGTATGATTTGCGCTGTTTAAGGGTTAAGATATGGGCACCACACAACTACTGCATATTCTAGCTTTGGCCTAACAAAAGTCGTGAACAATTTCTTTAGTATTTCGTCATTCATGTATTTAAAAGCAATTCTGAAGTTAGAAAGCGTGGCATAGGCTCCTTGCACAACATTCTTGATATGGTTCTCAGGTGATAGTTTTCTAATTAGAACCACCCCAAGATCTCTTTCTTTATCAATATTCGATAAAGATTTCTCACATAATTTATAGGTTGTGTGGGGTCTATGTTCTCCTATTCCACATTCCATAACATGGCATTTATTCACATTAAATTCCATTTGCCAAGTGGTGCTCCATATACTTATTTTGTCCAAGTCTTCTCGAAGGGCATGGCAATCATCTAAGTTTCTTATATTTCCTATTATCTTAGCATCATCAGCAAACATGTTCATATTGTATGCATGTGCAAGCATGCAATTTAATTTCTTAAATGTCTTTCTATTTAACAAGGTGTTGTGATGAACGAGGATGACGTGTCTGACCACATGCCCTACACCACTCTTATGTTTACCAATGGGCATGGCTTCAACTACACATGGACGGGTGAAGAAGTGAGTATGGTTGTCCCTGTGCATCAGACAGGAATTTGTTCTAGACTATCAGCTGTACTGAAGTCAAGTATGGGATACTAACTTACATTGTTATTTGTGTGTAAATGTAAATATTAAGAAGGATTTAGTATTTTTGTTTCTAGTATTGTACGTAGTTAAATTGTTCCTAGTTATTTTACCTAATACTGTACAGTACTATATTACCTCAAGCCAACTATTCATTCACTTTTCATATTAGTTTCATAAATTTTAGTATGTTTAATCATACTTTTTGTAAGTAATTTTCAAGTGATTTTTTGGAGGAAAACACATGATTTTGTACATATTATTATTATTATTATATAAATACTGTACTAAATACATTTGATGGTGATGGATCAAAAACATGCATTCTATTCACTGGCAAATACGGTATATGTTTCAATGCAGTGTGATGTTCACTGGCACCCTCTTTAATGGTAAGGCACAAGACAGGACTGATATGTCACTGACCAGACAAGGGTTATATTCCAGTTGTCACCATATGATATGTACTATACTTCACGTACTACAGCCATGTGATTGACCCAAGTTGGTGACTCGTTTGTCCTCACATAATAACCTTCTTTCTCATGTGTACGGTACTTGTTGTGAAACTTGTTTTAAAATTATGCCTGAAAATTCTGTGCCCATTATGCTTCCTTTACATATAGATCAGTTTCATCAGTTTGTTTCATCAACTTGTTAGCTTCCTCCTTGAGGAAGCAAACAAGTTGTATGGGTCCTTGTAGAATCTGGGAACCTCCAATTTCATTACTGAAAGTTGTAGATCTCTTAATAAGATAAATCTTGACTACTATTGTTTATATTCAGGATATTTTCTTCAAATTACTATAATATTGAAATTGAATATTTTTCATAAACACTTTCTAAGGGAAGGTCTCCTTGCTTGTGGTGGCCTTCGCCCTTCAGGTAAGCCGAGAGGCAAAAGGAGCACGTAGCCCCTTTTGCTGCTCTTCAGATTGCTGGGTTCGACCTCCAGGGTCCTTGCGTTGGTTGCTGCATCTCCAGCTTCCTCTTCGGATTTTTCAGGGTTCAGTACATTGGTGCCTTCCCCTTCCCTTGCTCGATGTGTTCACAAACGCCTCGTCTCTTGGCTAGGGTTTTGTGGCCAGCACTCACCAGGTTGGCCAGGGGGCATTGGGCTCTGTCCTTCCACTGGGCTCCAAGCACAGTGTGGGAGTTTGAAGGACTGTGTGGCAGATGCTGCGGCGGATTCGGTTACCTTTGGTGCTCGGTGATTCGGCTCCATTTGTACTGCTTTCGCCGTGATTCATTTTCTCAACCGGAGAATGGTCTCTGCGGTCCACGCTTTTTTGGGCTGATCCCTTTGGGTAGCTATTCTGCTGAGTTCTCAGGGTTTAGCTCTCTGCGTTGTTCACATTCAGGGGGGGGGGAGGAGGTTGTCCAACGTCCTGTCTCACTTCATTCCTCTTTCCAAGAAGTAGACGGCTGATGCCACCTCTTTCCTTTGGCTTTGGCTTTGTCGGACATTCGGGTGCCCGGAGGAGGACCTCTTTGCACTTGCTTGGTCCCGGCGCCTTCAATATACTGTATGTGGCGCCGTTTCTTGACTACAAGACATTCGTGGTGGACACACTTCAGCATAACTGGTTGAAGTGGGGGGTTCCTGTACCTTCATCCTCCAGTCCAGCTATTGCTTTGGGTTCTGGCATGGCTCAAATCCTTTCGGGAAAGAGTGGTTCTGGCCCGGTGGCTGGCCCAGCCTTGGTTTCAGATGCTGCTTGCATAGTGTCCAAACCTGAGGTTTTCCGCAGCTCTGCTTCTTTCAGCATGTCAGGCCTGTGAGGTTCCTCACTGGTTCGGCTTGCTTCCGCTCTTCGCGTCTGGCTTTCTGAAGTGTTTCGCCATTTCTATGGTGATCTGGTGGCTTCTTAGATGGTGTCCCACCTGCAGTCTTCCTTTGGTGACAGGTGTGCAGTCCTGGCAGTCTTTCCGCCATTTCCTTTCCCTTTGTAGGCTATTGCAGGTATCTGTTTCATTTGTTTGGTCCTTTCTTGTCTCTTTCCGGACTGGCGTATTATGCAGAATGCTGTCGCTTCTTATAGTAATTACCTAAGTGTAATTACCTAAGTGTAGTTACAGGATGAGAGCTACACTCGTGGTGTCCCGTCTTCCCAGCACTCTTTGTCATATAACGCTTTGAAACTACGGACAGTCTTGGCCTCCACCACCTTCTCACCTAACTTGTTCCAACCGTCTACCCTCTGTTTGTGAAAGTGAATTTTCTTCGGCATCTGTGTTTAGCTAGTTTAAATCTATGACCTCTTGTTCTGAAAGTTCCAGGTCTCAGGAAATCTTCCCTATCAATTTTATCAATTCCTGTTACTATTTTGTATGTAGTGATCATATCACCTCTTTTTTCTGTCTTCTAGTTTTGGCATATTTAATGCCTCTAACCTCTCCTCGTAGCTCTTGCCCTTCAGTTCTGGGAGCCACTTAGTAGTATGTCTTTGCACCTTTTCCAGTTTGTTGATGTGCTTCTTAAGATATGGGGACCACACAACCGCTGCATATTCTAGCTTTGGCCTAACAAAAGTCGTGAACAATTTCTTTAGTATATCGCCACCAATGTATTTAAAAGCAATTATGAAGTTAGAAAGCATGGCATAGGCTCCTCGCACAATATTCTTTATGTGGTCCTCAGGTGATAGTTTTCTATCTAGAACCACCCCTAGATCTCTTTCTTTATCAGAATTCTTTAAAGATTTCTCACATAATATACAGGTTGTGTGGGGTCTATGTTCTCCTATTCCACATTCCATAACATGGCATTTATTAACATTAAATTCCATTTGCCAAGTAGTGCTCCATATACTCATTTTGTCCAGGTCATCTTGAAGGGCATGACAATCATCTAAGTTTCTTATCCTTCCTATTATCTTAGCATCATCAGCAAACATGTTCATATAATTCTGTATACCAACTGGTAGATCATTTATGTAGACGATAAACATCACTGGTGAAAGAACTGAACCCTGTGGTACTCCACTTGTGACATTTCTCCAGTCCGATACATTGCCTCTGATCACTGCCCTCATTTTTCTATCAGTCAGAAAATTTTTCATCCATGTTAGAAGCTTACCTGTCACCCTCCAATATTTTCCAGTTTCCAGAACAACCTCTTATGTGGAACTCTGTCAAAAGCCTTTTTTAGGTCCAGATAGATGCAGTCAACCCAACCATCTCTTTCCTGTAATATCTCTGTTGCTCGATCATAGAAACTGAGTAAATTCGATACACAGGATCTTCGAGATCGAAAACCATACTGTCTGTCTGATATTATACCATTTCTCTCCAGGTGATCTACCCATTTAGTTTTAATTATTTTTTCCAATACTTTCACTATTACACTTGTCAATGATACAGGTCTATAATTAAGGGGGTCTTCTCTGCTTCCACTTTTGTAGATTGGAACTATGTTAGCCTTTTTCCACACATCAGCTACAACTCCTGTAAACAGGGATGCCTGAAAAATCAGTTGAAGTGGAATGCTGAGCTCAGGTGCACATTCTCTCAGAACCCATGGTGAAACTCCATCTGGACCAACTGCTTTGTTCTTATTTAGCTCCTTGAGCATTTTTTCCACTTTGTCTCTAGACACCTCTATGTGCTCTATGTTGTTCTCTGCAATTCTTATTGTGTCTGGTTCCCTGAAGATTTCATTTTGTACAAACACACTTTGGAACTTTTCATTTAATGTTTCACACATTTCTTTTTCATTTTCCATGATTCTGTTTCCCATTTTCAACCTCTGAATATTATCCTTTACCAGCAATTTGTTGTTTATGAATTTATAGAATAGACCTGGTTCTGTTTTACATTTGTCTGCAATCCCTTTTTCAAAATTTCTTTCTGCCTCTCTCCTCACTGCTGTGTAGTTATTTCTCGCATCTTTGTATCGCTGGTATGTTTGGGGGTTTGGCCTCTTCCTGTATTGATTCCATTTTTGTGTCTTTTGGTCTCCGGCCCTCTTTCAATTTCTGTTGAACCAATCCTGTTTCCTAGTTCTGCATCTCTGTTTTGGTATATATTTTTTTGTGCCTTTATCATATATTTCACAAAACTTGACATACATCTCATTCACTTCCTTGCCTAGCAACAAGTCTGTCCAAATATACTCACTAAAAATTTTTCTAAGGTTGCCATAATGTCCTCTCCTAAAGTCAGGTTTTTCAATTGCATCAACCTTCATATTTTCTTCCAGATTATAACGCATTGCATACTTTATTCCCAAAATGACATGGTCACTTTTACCCAAGGGAGGAAGGTACTGAATGTCAAATATTTCTTCCTCCTTCCTGGTAAATATCAAATCTAGCATGGAGGGAACGTCCCCATCCCTCATCCTCGTAGCTTGTTTAACATGTTGATACAAGAATGTTTCCAGGATGAGGTCTACAGATTTACAGGTCCAAAAATCTTCTGTTTTAGCTTCATATGCTTCCCAGTGTATGGATTTCAAGTTAAAGTCAGCGACTATCAACAGTCGTGATCTATCGTTATCCGCTCTCGCTATGATCTCTCTCATTATTGTTATAAGACCTTCTCGTTTACTATCTAGCTCCTCCTTTGACCATGTGCTGCTTGGCGGTGGACTATATGCATTTATGATCATTAGTTTATCATCCTCATGGCAGATCTCTAGTGCTATTATGTCAACTTCTTGTGGATTGGCAGTCATTATTTCGTTCATCTTTAGGTGTTCTTTCACCAGCACAGCAACGCCACCGCCTTTCCTAATTTTTCTGTCCCGTCTCCAAATTGAGTAGCCCCTTGGGAATATGATCTCATTTAAAATTACATCTTCAAGTTTTGTCTCCGTGAGTGTAACAATGTCTGGTGTCTGCAGCTGTATTACATCACTTAATTCCAGTATATTCGATCTTACTCCATCTCTGTTGGTGTATGCAATCTTCAGGAACTTGTTCCCCCTCTTCTTATTCTTCACTCCCCCTCTCTCTAATGATTTTGTTGGTTTGCCTTTATGTACCACTTTACTGGTCTGCCTACCCCTATCACTTTGTAGAAAAAAGAATTGATTTCTTCTTCATTCCTGCTCTCATTTAAACGTTTTGCCTTGGCGAGGTTCAGTTTCAGCTTCTCCCTATCTTCTTTTGAAAGATCTCGTCTTAGCGACCACACTTTCCTATCCTCATCACTTTGTAATTTTCTAGCATTCCTTAGTACTTCTTCCATCTGTTTGGTACCATTTAGGGTGATCCTCAAAGGTCAATCTTTTCCTGTTATATACCTGCCTATTCTCCTGTAGTCGCACACATTCTCTATGGAAGTAAGAGCTTCCATGAGGCCGACAATTTTATCTACTACTTTTGCTTCTTCTACAGCTCTTTCTGACCTAGACGTTATCTCCTTTTCTTTGCAGCCAAAAATTATCAGGGACTTACTCCGATCAACTGTGTTTTGCACCAACTTCGGGTTAGATGCCGATTCTGTTCTCACTTCCAGCCTAATGTTTGTTTTATCTTGGTTGCTGCAGTGTTTGACTTCCTTTACTGCTTCTTCAATTTTTTCCTTCTCCTTGGACACTTGTGCATAGGTGAGTTGCATATCTTTCTTGCACTGTTCTATTCCCTGTGTAACTTCCTCCATCTGTGCTGACAAAAGCTGTTTCTCCTGTTGAATTTCCTTACCTTACTTTTGTAGTCATTTATGTTTAAATTTACTTTAACTTCTTCCATAGCTATTTTTAAGAGTTTATTTTTTTGTTCCATGGCTTTGCAATTTGTTTCCAATTGATTCTTATCCTTGCACAAGTCTTTCACTAATCCCTCAAGACATACAACTTTGCTATTTAAATGGTTATTACTTTCTTGCAATTTATTAATTATTTCTACATGAGAGTTCACTATAGTATCTAATTTTACCAACTTGTTGTATAGATTGGTTATATCAATGCTTTCTTCATTAAATCCAGCAAAATCAAGGTCTGTTTTGTAGTTCTTCTTGTCGGCGGCCATCTTGAATGTTCTTCTCTGCACTGGAAACACTAGGGCAACTCTTTCTCATCCAATTTTTCATTTCCCTTGGCACATTCCTGTTAACTGTTAACGTTGGCGGCGCTGGCAGAGCCATTCCCGCCAGCGTTAGGGGTGGATGTCCCTTCCACTCCGTTCAGCACGCTCCCTCGTGCGATTTTCACCTCCGGCCTGCTCATGCGCTGCCTGCATCTTCTTGGTCTGTGAACTGGGTGCTCTCGTTTCTCTCATCTCCTCAGTTTGTTGTGGCCCCTTCAGTTCAAGTTTGGTTCGATAGGTCTTGTTTATTGCTCTTTTGATCCTGGGGAGCTCATCTTGTCCATTTGCTGCCTTCTTTGATTAGCAACGAATGAGATGGCTGGTTTCCGGTGGGGGCCATGGGTGTTGTTGCTTGGTTGGTTCGGCCGGGGTTGCATCATGTTTTATGTCCGGTTGTGGCTTTACGTCGCTCCCTGCATGCTACTGGTTCAGCAACAGTGGCTGCGCTCTGGGTTGACCCGGTTTCCTGGCTCCCTGTTGCAGGGTTTGTGTCTATTAGGTTGTCCACGGGGTTGTTCTGACCGGCCTGCGGTCTTCCCTTGAGCTTCTGATGTGCAGGAGTATACTGCTTTTGCTGCGGTATTTGGGCATCTATCTTAGGTTGCCTTTCATGCATGGGAATTTTGGTCCTTAAAAGGGGGTCCTGGTCGACAAATGTCTTGTGCATGTTCCATGCCTCTGTGACCTTAAGTTGCCTTGGGGCGTCTGTCATGGCCTGTTGTCTCCTCTTTGTTGTGAGACCTGCAATGCTGCCGCCTCCCGGGTGGTTCCCTGCTTTTACTTATCTGTGAGTAGATAGCTTCAGGGAGCCGACGGGGCTTCCCTCAGAAAACCAGCTTTGAATGTAATGAAATGCCATTTTCTGGGCGAGCCCCGGAGGCTCCCTGACACACTCTTTCCCTCCGGTCGGTGGTTTTCACCATTCTCCGAACTGGGGGATAGTGAAGCCTGCTCGCTTATGTGGGGTCCTCCCTCCTCCCCTGTTGGGGAAGGGTGAGGCGCTAACAAGAGGGCCTGCTAGTTGGATGGAGTGTTGCTTGTTTCACTGTTTTCTACTGGGGGGAGTTCTGGGGCTCTGTTCGGACGTAGGTTGGAATTTTAACCAGAGGTTTGTAATGGTTCACCTACCTTTCTAGGTGGGTGAAACCTTTCATCACCCTTTCTCCGATCGATGGTAGAAATGACAAACTTTAAATGTAAAAAGTTTATATGGCCATTGCTCTCTGCACCTCTCTGAGGGGGAGGGGGGGGGCAGACTCTGGCTCATGGCCCCTGGTGGTCACTCAAACTCCAAGGACTGATGGCACCAAACTAATATGGCACATGTCAGTTTGATAGCTTCAGGGAGCCTCCGGGTCTCACCCGGAAAATGGCGTTTCATTACATTCAACATTGTTTTTTTGCGGCCTGCGGGAAAGTTGTCAGTCCCAACTCTTTTGGGGGGGTTCAGGCTTATGGGGTAAGTCCCTCTCCTTCCCTTTGTCAGGTCATCTCGGATTCGGTAGCTTTGGGCGTGGTTGTAATGACTTCGTCTCCACTTTCAGGTTCTCCCATTTGGTCTGTATCTGACACTTTGTATCTTTTACTCATTTTCCTTGGGTCATTGTGGCCCTTCTTTAGTTCTTTGGGTGTTGGCCTACCTCGACGTGTGGCTGGTGTGAACTTCCTGCCATTCACTTGTCTGCTGGCCAGGGATCTGGATCTTTCCCAGCTCGCTGGGTTCAGTTTCCTGGTGTACTGGAGGAAGTCCCAGTTGGTTCTATCCCAGGTTTAGACTTGGTTGGGCCTGGTTTTGGACTTTTGGTCTGCATTGCTTTCCTGCCTCCTGTGGCCTTGCTCTGGGTGCACCGCCACTGTCTTTTGGTGTTCAGTGGGAGGCAGGGATCTCAATAGTTTGGTTGAACTGTTGCGCGGAAGCCTGTGCTTTGCCTTTCTGATTCATTGATTCATTGGGCAGGTTTTGGCTTTGTAGGTTGTTCTGATTCTTTGAGGCAGTCCTTTTGCCTCTCTCGCAATTGCTGGATACAGACGCCAGGTTCCTGTGCCATCTGCCTTGTTGCAGCCTTCCACTGTGGGTTTTTTAGGGGATTCGATTCCCTAGCACCTTATTCCACCTTCACTCAACGTCTTCCCTTTGTCCGGCAAACTGTATGGTTCAGGTGTTTGCAGCCACGTGACAGGAGCTGTGGTGAGTTTGGATTCCTTCGGGTTCTATAATCTGACTCCATTCAGGCTGTTTCTCCTTGATTTCTTGTTCACTGTGTGGGGTCTCTTCAGTCCTGTGGTCTATCCTCATGCCCTTGATGTGCTTCTGCAGGCTGGTCTATCAGCACTCTTTGCTCCTATGTCATAGGCCATTCTTCAGGCATAGGAGTTTTGGTCGTCGAACGGGGGTCCTGGCAGCCAGATATCTTGTGAACGTGCCTGGTCTTCTGCTGCTTTATGGTCTTGGGTCATTTTTTGCAGCCATTTGGCTCATTTTGTCTTGAAACCTGTGGTGCTTTCTCTTTCCTGGTGTGTGCCCTTTCTTCCTTCTTCATGAGTAGATAGTTTCAGGGGGTTCTCCCCAGAAAATAAGCGTTGAATACAGTATAATGAAATGCCAATTTCTGGGGGAGCCCTGGTGGCTTCCTGACACCCTCTCTCCCCCAGGGCATAGGGGTGGATGTCATCATCATAAGAATTGGTGGTGAAGCAGCTATCTGGGCCAGTCTGCCTCCTTCCTCCTACCAAACATGGAGGGGAAGGGATTCAAGTTTCATGAATCTTTGATTGTTTATATTGTTGGGGGCGTTCTTATGGCAGTTTGGAGGCTGCTTTCTCATTCTAAACATGCAGTAGTCTGTTTTGCTTCGTTGACTTTCTTGGTGTCTTTCCCTGGAGGTGGCAGACATGAATAACATTAACTGTAAGGTGTTCATAGTGCCATTGCTCCCTGCACCTCTTTGAGGGGACCAGTTTCTGGCTCGTGGCCTCCGGTAGGCCAATAAGCAATCAGCGACGGATGGCACCTAGAAATATGGCACTGAATCAAGGAGTATAGTATTGCAATCAGGGGAGCCACCAGGGCTTACCCAAAAATTGGTGTTTCATTACATTCATCACTAGTTTTATGCAAGTTACCAAATTAAAAAATATTCCTATTTGTTTTCTTAATTCAAAGGTAATGCGGCGCAACTTAACAGGAGTGGACACTAATGACAAGGATTTTGAACCTCTGGCTGCGGTCCCAACTTATGCTGGTTCCGAAACTCATGGTGGTGAAGATGTTGGAGTGTATGCCATAGGTATGATACTAATAGAATACTGTTTCAAAAATTTTTGTAGCTGTTGAGCTACTGATAATATGGAAGCTGAAATGGTTGGCATTGGATTGTGACACGCTGCCTCGTGTAATGAAGGATAACATAGAACTGAATCACCTTGATATTTTGATTAGGATAATGTTTCTTGCTAGAATAGTGTAAAGCATATCTGGCTAGTCATAAGCTTTTGCCAAAGAAAAACAAAAAGCACTCATATTTATGAGATCTTTCTTTGTTTGGTTAGCATGCTTAAATGCAAACAATTTATATGCTTTCCAAATGCTGGTTTGGTATGTTAATAAATTAATTGTGATTGGCTTGGATTAACATGAGAGGATGTACAGAGGATGTGGAGGATGTGTGATCTACACATGAGAGGATGTGCAGGGACTTAACACTTTCTGCGGATGAGGACTCCTCCCGGCGTCCTGTTTCGCCTACCCGCTCCCGCATAGTGGACATAAATTTATGTCCTCTTTTAAAATATTTGTATAAAATTCAATTTTTATCCGATTTACTTTGGGTTTGTTTCAAACTGCGCGCCATGAGGCTCTCTTTCTCACCAATAGGCTGCATGGTACAATAAGTTCATGAAAGGTTCACAAACATAACAAAAGTAAAAACATTTCGTGTGTGTTTGACTCTCACTGATATGTTCCAGCGTTGTTTTATATTTGGCGCTATTCTATTTTACGCTTTGTTGATCTTTTTTACCTACGGGCTCATAGAACATTCTATTGCGAACACATTGACACAAAAATGAATGACGTACATAGAATAATAATGTCATGAGAGTGAAATAAGTATAAACTTTCAAAGCACCGTGTGTCGTCCCGTCACCGATACCGGGTAACAATTTCACCACTTCCCACACTCTTGCGGGCGGGCCGCAATCATTATTCTACGCTTATATTCATATCACTGTGTTGGGAATTTCATTGCGAGTCCATTGATACCAAAATTAACGCTGTAGGACAAGTGTGGAGGTGATAACAATCCCAAGAGTAAAAACATTTTGTTGCTGTTGGGCGCTCACGGCGAGTCATCTTCGTAGTTATTTATTTGGTGCTGGTATCCCTATATGTTTCGTGACTTTTTTTACTGATGTTCTTCTAGAGAATTTTATTGCGAACACGTTGGTACCAAAATGAAATACGTAGCTCGAGAACTAAGGTCAGGAGAGTAAAAAGAGTATACACATTTTTGTTTTTACGCTTACGCGGCAAAACGCCGTGAGCACATACCGCTTTTTTTTTTACCTTCGCCGTGAGGCTGAAAGTGTTAATATCTAGCATATTCAGAGATTTGAGTAAGGGTACCGAGTGATGTCTGGGGCCAGAGTGAGATATTGTCCTAATAGCAGCTTTGTGTTGAGTAATTAGAGGACGTAAATGATTTTGGGTAGTAGAACCCCAAGCACAAATACCATAGTTGAGATAAAGATAGATGAGAGAATAATAGAGTGTCACCAGGGTAGGGCGAGGTACATAATATCTGATCTTAGAAAGAATGCCAACAGTTTTTGAAACTTTTTTTGATATATTTAGAATGTGTCCCTGGAAATTCAGCTTGCGGTCAATGAGAACGCCAAGGAATTTCCCATCTACTTTGTTACAAATTTGGGTATTGTTAATCCTGAGATTTATTTGATTTGAGGATTTATTGCCAAACAAAATATAGAAAGTTTTGTCAATATTGAGGGTGAGTTTGTTGGCAGTTAGCCAGTGATGGACTTTATTTAGCTCAGTATTCACTGTGACATTTAGAGCAAGGGAGTCAGGACTGGAGTAAATGAAGGTCGTGTCGTCAGCAAATAGAATTGGTTTGAGATCTTGGGAGGCATTTGGAAGGTCATTAATGTAGATGAAAGAAAGAGGAGTATGCTGCCAAGTATTCTGCCCTGGGGAACACCAATGTTGACGGGTAGGGTAGGAGAAATTGAATTATTCACAGAAACATACTGGAGCCTGTCAGTAAGGTAAGACTTAGTGTACTGCAGGGAGTGACCTCTGACTCCATAATGTTGTAATTTAAGATGAAGGTTTTGGTGATTAATAGTGTCAAAAGCCGTACGCAGGTCTACAAATAATCCAACAGGGAACTCATTTTTATCAAGAGCTGTATGTATCAAGTTAATCATACTAATAAGTGCATCGTTAGTGCTTTTTTTTGAGTCTGAAGCCATATTGACAAGAGCTAAGTATATTGAGTTTGGCTAGATAAGAGTAAAGCTGCTTATAGATTAGTTTTTCAAATATTTTTGACAAGTTTGGCAGAATTGATATAGGTCTGAAGTTGTTAACATCAGTGGGATCACCACATTTGTGGACAGGGGTTACTCTCGCTTTTTTTTTTTTAGAATATCTGGAAAGGTTTGGAGTTCAAGTGACTTGTTGAAGAGCAATGCAATGGCAGGAGCTAAAAATCTGGAGGCTTTTTTGTAAATAAGAGTTGGTATCTCCTCAAGGGCACTAGACTTGGTTTTAAGGGAAAGGATTATGTCAGTAACATCAGTGGAATTAGTAGGCATTAGGTACAGAGACTGTGGATAGTTACCTGTAAGATAGTCCTGAATATTAGTACTGGAAGATGGAATATCATTTGCAAGGGATGACCCAATGGAAGAGAAGAACCTATTGAACTCAAGAGCAGTGTCAGAGGCTGAAAGCAGACCATCATTATTTGACAGGAGTATTGGTTTATTATTTAAAATCATCTTTGATCCCAATATTTGAGAAATTGTGCTCCATGTTTTCTTAATATTGCCCTTTGTGTGGGTAAATTTATCTTCGTAGTATTTCATTTTGGCTCTCCTAATTATTTTAGATAGCAATGATGAGTAATTCTTTGAGAATTCTTTGGAGATGATTCCTAACCTATACTTCTTCTCAAGGTCATGTTTTTTATTAATGGATTTAAGTATCCCCTTTGTAAGCCAAGGATTGTTTAGCCTTTTAGTTGTGACTTGTTTCATTAGCATAGGACAGTGAGTGTTATAAAGGCTGAGAGTTTTTTGAAGAAATGATTGCACTGCTAGGTTGATGTCCCCTATGTTCACTAATTTGGATTCCCAGTTGATATTAGCAGCAGCAGCTATAAAATTGCCTATAGGAGTTTCATTGTGCAGCCTAAAGCTTGTCTCCCTAGTCTCTAGAGGTGGTTTGTTAATGTTGGTTAGGAGAAATGTGGGGTAATGGTCTGTAGTGCTATCGATGATTATCCATGAAGTAAGTGGAGAGGTTATGTTGGTACAGATGTGATCAAGAGCCATGGCAGTACTGTCAGTGATTCTAGTAGGTCTAGTGATTAAGGGTATGAGGAAGCAGGAATTCATACAGTTGGGCTCGCAGAGGTCAACGTTAAAGTCACCAGAAATATTTAAGTGGTTTTTGTTCAGTCGGTTCTCCAGCCATGTATTTAAATGCAATTCTGAAGTTAGAAATGTAGCATAGGCCCCTCGCACAATGTTCTTAATATGGTCCTCAGGTGATAGTTTTCTGTCTAGAACCATCCCAAGATCTCTTTCTTTATCAGAATTCTTTAAAGATTTCTCACATAATTTATATCTATGTTCTCCTATTCCACATTCCATAACATGGCATTTATTCACTTTAAATTCCATTTGTCAAGTGGTGCTCCATATACTTATTTTGTCCAGGTCTTCTTGAAGGGATATGGCAATCTTCTAAGTTTCTTATCTTCCCTAATTTTTTAGCATCAGCAAACATGTTCATATAGTTCTGTATTCCATCTGGTAGATCGTTAATGTAGACAATGAACATTACCGATACAAGAACCGAACCCTGTGGTACTCCACTTGTGACATTTCTCCAGCCTGATACATTGCCTCTGATTATTGCCCTCATTTTTTCTATCAGTTAGACAATTTTTCAGCCATGTTAGAAGCTTACCTGTCACCACTCCAATATGTTCCAGAACAACTTTTTACGTGGAGCTCTGTTGAAAGCCTTTTTTAGGTCCAGATAGATGAAGTCAACCCAACCATCTCTTTCCTGTAAAATCTCTGTAAATTGATCTCCTGAAATAAAATTTTCCTGTAAAATCATAGAAACAAAGTAAATTTGTTACACAGGTTCTTCCTGATCAAAAACCATACTGTCTGTCTGATATTATATCATTTTTCTCCAGGTGTTCTACCCATTTAGTTTAATACAAAATTTAACACAATGGGTTCTCTACCTATTTAGTTTAACCCTCAAACCCCTAAGGGCTTTAGCCCGTAACACCACCAGGCGCAACAAAAAAAAAAAATCCAAAAAAATTCTTTCGTCTTATAAAAGCGTTAATTTGTGTTCCCTGATCATGGGAAAAAAATAATCGTAGGTGGCATATTTTGGCTGCAATAGGGCGGGGAAGTCTGGCAAAAAACCAGCATTGAATGTATTGAAACACCATTTTCTGGGTGAGTCCCAGAGGCTCCCCGGAGCTATCCAGGCTGAATGAATACGTATAACTTTCTGGCATCAGTCAATGTGCAAGGAGTTCTTGCCTACCTGGGACCATGAGCCAGAACCTGGCCCCCTCAGAAAGGCACAAGGAGCAATGGCCTATAGAAACCCAAGTGTGAGTGGGAGCATTCTATGTTTGCCATCGACTAGGACAAGCACCCAGAAAGGGAGGCACCCCAAAACAAACCATTATTCTGGTGAAACTATTACTACTGAAAGCCATACAAAAGCTGAAAAAAATCCCAGCGTTGAATGTAATGAAACGCCATTTTCTGGGCGAGTCCCGGAGGCTCCCCGGAGCTATCCCAGGCTGATATACTAATGTCAGACTTTGGCATCAGTCATGTGTATGGAGTTCTTAGACCTACCGGGGACCACGGCCAGAACCGGGTCCCCCTCAGAGAGGCAAGGGAAGCAATGGCCTATAGAAGCCCCCGTGTGATTGGAAGCATTCTATGTCTGCCATCAACCGGAACAGGCACCCAGAAAGGTAAGCGCCTCAAAACAAACCCC